ACACAAACGTCTCGATCGGCCAACCGGTGAGCCTATTGTCGCGCACCGGGAGGCTCTCCAACAGCATCGGGTGATCGTAATAGTAGACATGGAAGTGCTGGTGATTGACGGACGCCATGGCGCCCAATGAGTTGAACCCAACCCTCAGGGACTGGCGGCCGCTGAGCGCCACCAGACTTATGGCCAGTTCGAGGGCGTCGGTAGTCAGCACTTGGGGCCGACACGCGTCCAAACTCGGCACCAGTAGTGCGTTGCAGTACTCGATGGGACTCTGGTTGACAATCACTGTCCCGGATGTCCGGCCATCACTCGACTCCACTTTAAACAGTATTTCCTGTCTATTAATTCGCGTGAAATTAAACGCCTGTCCATTGAATGGCTGCCGAATGGCGCGCATAGTCTGCGGTGGCCTACGATTAACAGCCCGGCCCTCATTCAACTGCGCGATCATACCGTACCGGCCGGACAGCTGTTTGGCGGGCAATGAGTTTTCGGTGACTTTATAGCGAAACACATTGTCTTTAGCCGAGGCTTCCGTCCACTTCCGTCGCAACAATACATCAAATGGACTGTCAGTCCCATCAGCACTGGTATTGTAATCATTTTCGCTGAACACTAGTGTTTCGACACTTTGATTGTCACTATCGATCGGTTCCATGGCTTCGGAGGTTATCATCAAAAGTAGTAATCAATAGAAAATAAAAACTTAACAAATAGTTAACAAAAAAATATCAAAATATTTGCCACTATTTTGCGCTAAATATAAGTATTTGTTGGGAACGGTATGTATGCGAAGGGGAACGGCTGGTGTTCACAATCGACTGGTGCGGTCCTCCTGTTTGATAGCCCTCTCGTCCCAAAGGGTACGTCCACTACAGGCGCAGATCTTTTTGCTATTATCGCCGACACTGGAGGCACGGGCGACGATACCGGCGCCGATCACCCGATCCTTGAGGCTCACAGACAGCGCGCGACCGATACAGGCGCTGAGGTCGCAGTTGTCTACCCGTGCTTTGAGGGCACCCCTGGCCGGGTAGGACGGGTCGTTCGCCGTGAACTGACTGGCTATTGGCAGGTATACTGAGCCCAAGTGCTCAAACGCCTGTCCACTCAGATCGCCAAACGTGTGGATGTTTAGGGAGTACTGGTTTTGGGGACGTATGCCGTCTATGACGGCGTCCACTAAACACCGATTGTCCGGCTGTTGACTGAATCGCACCACTCCTATGATATCGTCGTCGCCTATGCGATGGGTATGGGAGAGGGGAACGGGATGTCAGTGAGTATACAGTGATAGTATAAGTGCTAAGAAGTGTCGGATTTACCGGTGATTTCGCTGACGGCGGCTATACTATCGCCCAAACCCTTGACCACAGTATTCAAGCCTAGTGTCGACTCGATGGTGGTCTGGATGTCGTGTACGGAAGTGCCGCCCGATTGTGTCAACTCTACGACCAGTGTCTGGTTGGGGACATCGATGGACACGATCCTCACGTCTTGTAGTTTCTGTAATTCGTGTTCAATAT